GTAGTCGAAAACGCAGACACGTGAGTTCCGCGATTGCATGACGCAGCTATGAGGGGTCGGACCCACCGGCGTGACCCCACCATCGAATAAGTTAACGGTTGAACTTGGAGTAAGTCCTCTGGAACAAAGCTTTTCAGGAACGGCCCGAAAGCCCATATATTTTAGGCATAGTAAGACTCACGATCACATGAAATCTCTGCCCAGCTCCCCCCCCCTCCTCACATGCCAAAAAACCCCATTGATTTTCTACTGAATTTGAGCGTAGATTAAGTAGTCCACAGGCTGAAAGAATAACCCACTCACTGTACATTGTAGCACCTATTCTCCCATGCATGCGCAATGGGTTTGAAGTCAGTGGCCTATTAAAATAAAACCCCACTTTCTCACACGTCGTCTGATGATGAAGTGTTGTTAGCAGCCTGAAAATGCATGAGCCCAACCCTATTACACTGGTTTTACGACACACTGCGTACATAAACGAAGACATAAACCTCCGGAAGGTAAGTGCAAAAGTTTCGTCACTTAACAGACATTTGGATGCGAAATTGCAGGATGTTCACGAGGTTAATGCGAAAGACATCGGGGCAGCGCGGGGGGAGGGGGAGGCTCGTGCTAATGCATTTCACTTCGGGCGAGTTCGGAGAAAGATGAAGACTTTCGTTCTCCGATTCCCAGGTGTGTGCCGCGAGGGACAAAAAGGCGGCAACGGATGGCTTTCGCATTTTACCTTTTCAATGCTTTCGCTCCTTTCTGCATCCAGACAACAAAAACCTCAATCATGAAGGTCGTCACCTCTCACAAGACAGATTTCCCATTTTGGTAGAATTTATTGGAGAGCACTGGGAAAAGTCTAGGATTCCAAAAAAGCAAGTAGGCGTAATTGGTCGAGCAACTGTTTTGTTTTACTTCAATCAGTTTGGTGAAGGTATGGAATGGGAGAATAAAGTCCAATGCATAATCGCGATTGTCCAAAATCTCAGGGGTTGTCTAATGCAAGTGAAGGAGGCGCAAGGAGTAACAGGAAAGGAGTACGAAAAGGAGCCAAAGGCGGAGAGAGCGGACGCAACTGAAACTAGACGGACAGCATAGAGGACTCGCCGAGCATAGTTGCGTACGGTTCGATTGCCGGTGTGACCTCGTCTGACAAGAATTCGTTCACCTACAGGGTAAGAGGAATAACGTGAAAATCGTCCCTGGCCGTCAATACAAAAAAAACATTTGGTGTGCACTATAGAATATACAGTTGGTCGGAAAATGTCCACTTCACACATACACGCTATCGGAAATGGAGATAGTGGATAGCGGATTTAGCATTTGTGACCCCGAGTATGTGAACTTTAACTATATACACGTAAAACTTTATCTTCTTGACAAGAAGGGGGTCAATATGCTAACATAGGAACGGCGATGTCTCAGTTAGACACGAGGTTCGAAATTATCCACAAGCGGACAACAACAATTTTCAAATAAAAACAAACCAAGATAGCTGAATTGATACACGTGCAAATGCACCGTTAAGAGTGGGAGACATAATTAAACGGTGATATCCGGGAAATATTCTAATTAGCAAGATGGAAGACAGACTGTGTATGCAGTTATACAGGGAGGGGTGGTGCATTTATGCGTGGAAATTTAAGCAGATTCGAGTGACTCATTCGTTCTCCATGAGGATTTGAACACAGAAAAGCACAGGAATATGGTAAAGTTTAGGACATGCTGCGGTATACCGTCCAGGATAATAAAGTCCAGTTTATATGTTAATGTTTAAATAAGTTGTTAACAATCGTGCAATTAGAGTGAAACATTGACGATTAGGATAATCAGAAGAGATAGGAGAATTTTACGTCCGTGTGAATACTTTTCATTCCTTACCTTGGACAATGTCGAGCATAAGGTAATGGTAAGCTTCTACGGCAATAATCCACGTAAGCTTTAACCGGTAATTATGGTATTGGGCTACTGGCCAGCCTCTCAGCCCGAATTCTCACACTAGAAAACGACGGTATCTGGGGGGAGCGATCCTGAAACTGCCATGATCCTCTAATTTATAACGCGGCTCAGGGTACGTCGGTATTCATCTGAAGCGGTGGGTAGCATATAGCGATTCTTCGTGTTGAAAATACTTAGTTTGAGTAAAAAGAAATGCTGCCATTAGTAAAACAGAGGAGTCATGATGAGCCCTAAGTTGAATATTTTGAACTAGCCCGAGTGACTTGGGCCTTGGTGAATAAATAAGTGGTCCTGGTTACGGATCACCGACTGCGTACGGGACCACTTGTGACGAAAGAGCGGATAAGAATTAAAATCGAACATAAACATAATCCGCGTGCCTTCGGTTTGTGGATGTCAGGGTTCGATTTCTTCTATATATCGTGCTTAAAGGGTCCGCAAATACTTTCAACGTTCAGACATCCATATTTTCGATTCTACACGAAAAGAAACTCAAATTCACTCAACACTTACCAGCACTGGACAAGCGTCAAGCACTCTTCTCTATGGAGTGGGTGGCAAGTCGCCAAGCTCCCTCCCCTCACTTCGAGAACGAACAGTTCTCTGATGTACACAAGTTAGTCTTACGACAACCCCTTTTTCCTTTTTTTACGGACAAAGACGAGGATATCTCATATTAACCTCCTGGATTATGAATGGCCTTGGTTGGCCCTTTGACCCCGACGCATTTTGTACTCAGGCTAACACGCGCACATTGCGCGGTCATACCCCTAAAACTATGCCCACGTAAAGCAAGGATCAATAGACGCAGTTTTTCTTCAATAGCATAGTGCTTGCAGCGTGGAACGCTCTTCCCAAAGATGTTGTTTTCTCCACCTGTGTGAATACATGTAAGAGCAAACTTGCCATTTCGACTAACCAACAACTGTCCGCTTTTCGCCCGCAAGTATGGAATTGACGTATTTTTCAGTTTTTTTTTTGTATCCATACATTTCCTAGCCAATTTGTTACCAAGACAGAGTTCAAATGCGCCCGCCTTTCTTTCCTCTTAATAAAAATAAACTGAACTGCATTAATATCAGACGAAAGCACAGAAGCTAGCACCAAGAGGATACATCTATATGCAAAGCTTGCCTGCTCAGGAGCTCGGCCTATGAAGGCTTTCGGATCAAGCAGTTGCTCCAGTTCTGCGTGCACAGGTTTGAAATACGCGTCGGCCATTAACCGGGCGACCAGGTCATTGGGTTTGCCCTCCATCTTGACTACTGCGCCAGCAGCCTGACTATGTGTGCGCAAGCGCTCGTGGCATTCCTGACGATTGGCCTGTGTCAGGGTGACCATACGCACAATGATACGCTCTGAGGCCAGGAAGGGGAGCTCGGACAGCAAATTCCTTTCGATAACCTGCAGCAAAAAGAGGAGGAAGAATGAAAGGCGGGGTGACGGAACTCACGGTAGCCAGGAAACGATTGGTCGATTCACTGTCACGGGTAGTGGCATTTAAAAGTGCACGTACGTGTTTCGTTCGCGGACGGGCTGCTAACTAAGTGTTTACATAGGTTTAGGCAGTCGCACTTCAGTTAGCCACCTGTGAACTCTGTAACAGTGCAGGTTGGACTGACAAGTGCGTCTACCTGAGTGACAGCTAAAGGTTTCTTGCTCAAAAGGGGAAAAGTCTCTGCTAAATTGCCTTATAAA